CCACTGGAAGGCTGTCTTTTGGTGTAGGGGATCTGAAAGAAAGTTCTTCTTTCTTTGAGCTTCTGGTCCTGGGTGACCATGATATGGCTTAGCATCTCTCTTAACCCACCTCTGCTCCTTCCTTGCTTGTTTACTCTCTCTTACATCTGAAAAAAAATTGAGTCATGCTATACCCTTTGCTAATCCTGCTTCATTAACATTACAAAAGCAATACATTCCAAAATGGTTTTATAACTACAAAGCATAGAGGTTAGGATTTCTAACACAGACTTTGCTGCGGGGACATAATTCAATCTATAACAGGTAGGTAGGTCCCCGCCTCTCAAAAAGGTTCAATTAAAATAATTCTTCAGCATTTAAATGTAGATAAGATTCCTTATAATAATGATAATCAACTTAGAATTCAGGGTTCTTAAATAAATAGATTACCAGGGAGAAAAAGACAAGCATGACTTTAATCATTCTGACAGGAAGTTTCCACCAGGCTGCCCAGCCTTTTGTTAATCAGCTGCACATCAGAAGGTGGCCAAGAAAACTGGATGGTGATGTCTGGCCGACTTCCCATCCTGCTTCCATTTCTAAATGAATGACTTCCCTTATATAATATTTTCCTATAAGAAAACCTAAAGATGGTTTATTGGTGATAATAGACAAGTACCTAAAGGAAAACATTACAGTATCAGAATATTTACTAAGAAGAGGTTATGCTGTTTCCCGTATTCCCTGAATTGTGATTAAATGGAAAGAAGACATTTTGGGCAAACCCAGGAGGGGGAAAAGAGCACAATAGGAAGTGTCTTGTATTCTCAGAGGTAGGACTTAATTGAAATCAATATGGGGAAAAGCCAGGAGGAAAAAGTGCTGTTCTGAACATAGGAAACTCGAATCAGCTAAAAGCATGAAATGCATAACGTTCCTTGTGGACTTGAAGTTTGTTCAAATAAAACGTCTCCATGAAGTTACATTGTTCTCCCTTTGTCACTGGCAATAGTGGAGCTACAAGGACCCCATCAGGGGTTCCCTCCATTTATAACGCCCACCCTCAAATCTGAAGATGTCCGTAATGATTCAAAAATCTACCCCCCAAAATTGAAGGTGGAGGTAGACTTCATTGTACTCAGTCATCCCATTACTGGAAATATTTTGTGTAAATTGAAGGTCTTTCAATAAAATTGTATGCCTCCATTGGTTTTCCTGATTTGGGAGCGACATTTAACATCATCATTATTGATTACTAACAGGCTCTGGCTAATATTTGAGCATCGTTTCTTTTTCCTTACTCTCCTAACTTTTGTCGACTACCAAGTTGTAGTGAAACCTGCAAAACCTGAGACCTGTGTTTGACGGCTAACAGTCAGAGAAGGAAAAGTAAAACATGTCCCCCTCCAGGAGAGTGATTGTCCAGTGGTAGGCTGAGCTTTGTCAATGACAGAAAAGTTGTGATGCCTGTGGCTCTCCCAGCTGTCACCATCTGAGGGGGCTTCAGCTATTTTGTGGGAAAATGTCAGTATCTTTCTAATTTTATTTTCCAAGAAATTTTGAAGCCCTCTCATAGAAACATACATTTCAATGGACTTGCAACTTAAACATGACCTAACTTTATTAGTTCCTGTGTGGTGAAAATAGCTTGGGGATTCTACGTACCTGTTTGATACGTGCCTGCGAGCCCATGGGTGTGTGCATTCATACACAAGGGGACGTCAAAAAAAGTTCATGGGAAAATTCCAATATCTTTTCATTCCGTTTTTCCACAATTTGGGGGGAAGCTCCTTCGCTTCTATATCTTTATATACATGCATCTTTCACACATCTGTCAGCTAAATGTTTCATATACGTTTGCTCTCAAGACCAACAATGAAACCAAACCATGGAGTCAATTCAGATTCCTAGTGAGTTCATAAAAAAGGGCTTCTGAGACTGTAAACCTTCATAGGAGGAGAGAGAGCCTCTTCTTTCTTCTCAGGAGCAGCTGGTTGGTTTGAACCACTGACCAATGCCTAATCCACAGCACCACCAGGGCTTCTAGCAATGTAATAATTCCAAATTAATTTTTTAATTCTACACCATCACAGAATGACCTGTAGATGGCTTCTTATTGGAAATGAGACATTCCGCTACTTTTCCATTTCTGTAGTAGAGTGTTTGTAAAATGGTCCTGCAGATCTCAAACTCTTTTTTTCCTCATTTACTGACTGGCTGCTTCAGCTTGGATGATGTCTGATGCCACAGACTGCATTTTCTTAACTGTAAACATTTACTTGTGATGTCAGAGGAATCCAAAACTGATTCAACTACACTAGTTAGATGATCTGATTAAGTCCAAAGGCAAACTCATTTAAAACTCACCCCCCTCCCCCATGGATTTGGCCAAGGATTTGAAAGAAATGGCTAGTCAATTCAGTCAAAATTGTCCAACCAGTAGTGTTATGTAGACACTGTCATATTGAACTAGTGTTTTATGTAGCATATGCATTCATTCTACAAATATTTATACAAGTAGTATAGCATGGGACACTCTATACTAGATATACAATCAGGAATAAGATAGTGGTCCTGTGCAGGTTTTCAGACAAAAGTATTGAAGACTAACTGCTGATTTTGTTTTACTCACTCTGGTATCAACATCATGATTTTAATAGCCAAGTTGTGTTCACCCAGATGAGGTCATTAGTACTTTGGAGAAGCCCTGGTGGCATAGTGGTTACACATTGGGTGCCAACCCAAAGGTTAGCAGTGCAAAACCACCAGCCGCTCTGTGGGAGAATGAAAAGGCTATCTAATCTCATAAAGATTTACAGTGTCAGAAACCCACTGGGGCAGTTCTACTTTTTCCTGTGGGGTCACTACGGCTTGAAATTGACTCGATGGCATTGAGGGAAAACTTGGATTTGGAGTGAGAAAGGAAAGACATTTCTACTTGCTACTTCACTATTTGACACCTTCTGAGTGAGTAGTGCTTCAGTGGTAAGAACAGCCATTACATTAAAAAAATCCTAATATATATATTCTCCTACAAATATTTAGTTCCTCGCGATATCCACTTAAAGACTGTAAAAACATCAAATTGGTTGTGTTTAACAAGGTTAAAATAAAAGCAGAATTTCAAAAGCAAATGTCATTTTATGTCATTTAAGCATTTTATTATCTATTTACAATAAAAAAAATAAAACAAGAATGCATTGCTACCGGTCAATTCTGGTCCATAGTGATCCCATATAGGGATTCTGAGACTGTAACCTTAATTTTTTTTTTCCTTTGGAGTGGCTGGTCAGTTTGAACCATTAACCTTGTGTTTAGCAGCCCAATGCTTATCCTTCGGCACCACCAATAAGCCACACTAGTACATGATGGTTAAACTCGAGCAAAGTCTTCAGAAATAGTGCGGTGGTGGATATATATTGGTTTAAAAATTATTTGCTTCTTCAAAAATGTCCAAATGATCAAATTGAGCATGTGAGCCTGCCCTAGCTTAGATATTTCACTGGTAGCTTGGTAAATATCCAACTTGCCTGATCTCCCTCAAGGCTATATGTTATGCAGATGCCAGATCCCCCTAAAGACTCCCGCCTTTGCACACTGTCAGGAGGGGGTTGGGGTTTTTAATTACTAGTTGTTGTTCTGCTCTACTGAAACCTTAACCAGGGACGCTAAAAGCACAAGCTGTGGATTTAAAACTAACTACAACTTTCCTATTTTCTTGGGATTCCCGCCACAGTGCAACCTTGGAGAGAGCAGAGTTCCACAGAGGCCGACGAGGCAGTATCATCAGCTGTAATGGCAGCAGCTCCATGTATCTTAAATTAAGCATGGAATGAAGACTAACCAGGAGTATCAAGGAAGCTAGTGTTTTGTGACTTATCAAACGTATTCAATTGTGAACAAGATGATTATTCATTGCACCTGAATTATGCATCTAGGTTAACACTTTCATATTGAAAGAAGGAGATTTCATTAGGAGAGTGTTTATTCCTGTTGATACACCTGACTTCAGAAAATCTTGTATACTTTGCTATGTCCATTGACTATGAAGGCCAGCTTTAGATCTCCCCTTGTAATAATTTTGACTACTTTAACTTTTACTTCCTGTTCCTCTTACAGCTTCTTTACTGTGCAGTAGCAAACAGGTGACTGTAACTATCCTCCACACGGGCATGTACAAATATGATCTGTATTTTCTGTCACCCTCTGCACTATACTGAGGGATCAATGTGTGCTTGAGTAACTGTGACAGGGCTCCTTTTAAGGAAGGCGTGTTCCAGTAGCGCGATTATTTACATGAAGTAATTGGTTCTGCAGAGTCTTCTGTTACCATAATTGGCTCATTGTGTATGTATTCGGGTTCTTTGGAAGAAGAAGCCGCTATCAGAAAATTAAGGTACTAAAAAAAAAAAAAAAAAGAAAAAAAGAAAATTAAGGTACTATCTAACATTTTAGTTGGCAGAAGGTTGCAAAACAGCAACAACAAACCTTCCCATTTCCCTCTCACCCTTCCCACGTGCATACTAAATTCGAGTAATGAGAGATCAATAGAGCAGGACTAGAGAATGGGCAGGACTAATATGGAAAATAGGTGTGTTTTTTTTCCGGAAAAAGCAACTTCAAAGCTAACTTGTAAGATGAGAGCCATCTGTGTGAGAGGGCAGTACAGCCAAATGATGATGCTTTGCCAGGTTCAGCTATGCCCTGGCTTAGAGAGATCTTGACCAGAGATAAAAATACATAAACTCCTGTGGATGGACTGAAGTTCCTGGGTGGGGCAAACAGTTAAGGTCCTGAACTGCTAAGGCAAAGGTTGAAAATTCAAGTCTACCCAGAGTCCTTGTATGAAAGGCCTGATTATCTACTTCCTGTAACAATCAGTCTTTGAAAACACTATGGAACAAAGTCCTCCTCTGAGACATAGGCGGTCACTATGAGTTTTAATTGACTTGGGGACAACTGTTTACTGTCTGGGAATAGAGTCATTGCAATAAATGGCAGGAGGACATGCCATATCTCACCTTCTCTGGCTTCCTATGGCCACACTGCAGGGGTCAAATATACCTTCACCGCCCATCTTTGTTTACCCCTTTGTGACACCAACCATTCCTCCCACAGCGCTTGCCTTCTATATTGGCTCTAATAATTTGTTGCAGTGACCACACAGAACTCAAGACACTATTCACTGTGAATAAGGTTGATTAGGGAAGTTACAAGGTTACCACAAGTCAGGATCAGTTAACAGTAAGGATAAAGTCATTTTTCCAGCATCCTTCCTCCTCAGGCAGCAGCCAACTTTCTCTTGCCCTCAGCCTCAGCCCGTGGCTTCTACCTCTGTGGGCCAGGAAGCAGCCTGCCTGTCTCTGAGTCCCATAGCCTAATTGCTGCTCCTCTGAATCTCCATGCCACAGGCTCTGGTGCTTCTGTTATCCATGGTCTTCACCACTTCAGACAGAGATCTTGGGTGTGCACTGGCAAACGGCCCTGCTATTCCTCTTTGTCCCAGATGGCTCTTACATACAGAGGGATGGCTTTGATGGAGGTGTGTTTTGTCTTTTAGTGGACCACACCCACAATGAAAATGAAGGATGCTCTCTTAAATCACATTCCCTAGTAAAGTCATCTTAAAGATGCCCTCAGGACACAGAGGTCATGATTTGGTTTACAGCCTCTACTGAGGTCAAGACTTAACCCCATCTTAACCCTGTAACAGAGGACTTCCTCTAAAATAGAATAATAGCCCCATACATAGAGTCCAGAATTATGACACATGACATAAGTGATTATGTCATATTAATTGATAACATCTCAGTTAACACCCGCCGCCCCCATTCCACCCCATGCCCATTTGGCTAAGTAAGCCAAATTAGGTATGGGGCATCCAAGGCATTCGGTAGTGTATGGTGGGTGAACTAAGATGTATGGAGAAAGAATTTTGATGAACAGAAAGGAGGACCATTTGACAGCGCAGGTCAGATCAAGAGAGCAGACAATACTATAAGACCTAGCCTGTCTTTCCAGACATTCATGAGACATGCCATTCAATACAATAGCCATCATCCACATTTGCCCATTTCCACTTAAAGTAAATAAAAATCATGTACAAGTTGAGTTTCTTAGGTTCACTAGTCACATCTCAAGTGGTCAGTCGTCAAATATGGGTAACCACAAAGGATAGCACACATATAGAATATTTCCAGCAAAGCAGAACAGAACATTCTGCTGGATAGCACTATTCTAGAGTGAGGAGCAAAAATAACTACTTGATCCATTAAGACACAGGGAAAGCTTCTGAGTGTATAAATATAAGAGTAGGGGTGGGGAGAGCGAAAATTGCCACAAGAGAGGTATAGACAGGTGTTATAAGACAAAAGAGGAAAAAAGGATTCTTTGGAACTAAGTCACTGGAAAGCTGGCTGGCACTTATTGAACGCTATATGCCATGATTCTAAACATGTAACTCTACTCTTCTGCTCTACTAAGTGTAAAAGGCTATAGAAGCAATGTCTCTTCAGTAGTAGCTGCAGAAGGAACCTCTTAGAGTTCTGAGGATGGTGCGTAGCTTTGCCACGGTAGCCCATAGAAATGTATCCTCAAAGGACTACTTGCAAAGACCTTTCCTCTTCCCTTTTCCACTTCTCTGCCCTTGCCCCAGAGTGCGCCCTATTGTGCACATATTGTGCTGGCCCATGTGGTGGAATCCTGGGACACTAGCCTATCCTTCCAGGCTCCATGTGGGGTATTTCCTATTTCTACAAGGATAAGACTCAGTCCCTTTAACATTTCGATGGCCAAATAGCTATAAAGGCAAACAAATCTCTCTTAGTAATATTGACTTTTGAATTAGACTTTGACTACTTAGAGTGCTAAAAGGAATCTTTATCATAAAGGGTACAGTTGCAAAGGAACTACTAGGGTAGAGAACTTAATCCTGTTCTCTCCTCCAACACTTACATGTTAGCATTATCACATTTGACCAGATATTTTGTGGAAGAAATCAGGAATTTGGATATTAAACAAATATCCAAAGAATATGAGAAGAGATGATCCCTTCAGGACCAGTGGTGAGAGTGGCAATACTGGGATGGTTGAAGGAAGGTGGGGTAGAAAGGGAGAACTGATTACAGGGATATACAGATAACCTCCTCCCTGCGGGATGGACAAAAGAAAAGTGGGTGAAAGGAGATTTCGGACAGTACAAGATATGACAAAATAATAATAATTTATAAATTATCAAGGGTTCATGAGGGAGTGGGGAGTGGGGAGGGAAGGGGAAAATGAGGAGCTGATGCCAAGGGCTCAAGTAGAAAGCAAATGTTTTGAGAATGATGAGGGCAACAAATGTTCAAATGTGCTGGGCACAATGGATGTATGTATGGATTGTGATAAGAGTTGTATGAACCCCAAACAAATGATTAAAAAAACAAATAAATATAAAGATTTAGTAATAGCCAAAAAAAAAAGAAGGGAACCGATTACAAGGGACTATATGTGACCTCCTCCCTGGGGGACGGACAACAGAAAAGGGGGGGAGGGGAGACGTCGGACAGGGCAAGATATGACAAAATAACAATTTATAAACTATCAAGGGCTCATGAGGGAGGGGGGAGTAGGACCTAATGTTGGGGGTTTAAGTGGAGAGAAAATGTTTTGAAAATGAAGTACAAATGCACTTTACACAATTGATGTGTGTATGGATTGTGATAAGAGTTGTATGAGGCCCTAATAAAATGTTTAAAAAAAAAAGAACAAATGCCCAAATTCCAATGCCAGGATTTTGTTGTTATTACCATTGCTTATTTTTTTAATTGGGGTCTCTTACAGTTCTTATCACAATCCATACATATATCCATTGTGTCAAACACATCTGTACATATGTTGTCATCATCCATTGCTTATTTATTTTTTCTTAACTCAGTGTATTACATAAAATAAATCACATATAGATTAAATTCAGTACAGCTAGCAATTCATTAAGAACCCCCCCAAAAAAAAGAAATAAGGAAGACCATAGATTTGATGCATTTGATTTATGTGTTGAAGAATATAAAAAATACCATGGACTAGTAGAACAAACAAGTCTGTCTTGGAAGAAGTACCACCAGAAGATTCCTTAGAATCTATCTACTTGAAAATTGTCTTCTTTTTTACTAACCCTCCATATCACCATGTATGATGTTTTTCTCCAGGGCCTAATCTCTCCAGATAACATGTCCAAAAGTACTTTTTATGGATTAAAGTCACATTCCCATAGGCAAATGCCACGTAGCTTGTTGGTAAAAGAGGAGGGCGGTGTGGTAGAGCTTCCTGCTTGGTTTATTCAGTTACCCATAGGCATGACTGGCTCAAAAATGTTAATCCAAGAAGAATACAAAAGCAAGAAATATAATGACTTATAACCTCAGAGAATTTATAGTTTCACTCCAAAGTACGTGGTGTGGACACATTTGATATGATGGAAGAACACGGTGGCAGAAAAATGCTATTCAAATCACAGCAGCCAATCTCCTTCTACTTTTTATTATTGTCATGTATTTCTGTTGAGTCAGCACCTGACACGTGGAGACCCCATGTATTGTACAGGCTTCATTGTCTGTAATCTTTATGGAAACAAATAACCAGGCCTTTGTTCCAGAGTGCCACAGAATGAGTTAGAACCTCCTAGAGCCTAAACTGCTTGCACCAATCAGGCTCACGTTTCTACCTTTGTCCCAGAGGCTTAATTCTGTTCTCAGATTCCATGACAGCTAGGATGGCCATATGAAGCAGATCTGCCAAACGAGAGTAGAGAAGTGGGGCAGTCACGCTGGACCCTCACGTGACAAAAGCAAAGACAAAAACCAAGGGGATGAGGATAAGACTAGAATGACCCCGTGGAGTGACTGCCCCAGCTCTGGATTACGTCTGTCCTGTTGGTTTTCTGAGGTGAAAAATGACCATTTGGTTCATCCACCACATTTAATTTTTTTATTATACAATCCAAATGCAAACCCAAATGATAAGCTATTCATGGAGCCGCCTATCCCCAGATGCAAATGAATATGTAAATGCTAAAATCCTCAGAAGACTTTATGGAAGAGTTTGCAAGGATTGAAGGAGTAACTGCAAAAATTCAATAGCGAATACTAATTTGGGGTTGTAATGTGGAATTATGTTAATAAACAGAAGCATTTAAAGAAAGTACTGGAATAAATTGATATTAGAGAAGTACAAAGTAAGAGGAGGAGAAATGGAGGAGAGGGCGTGTCCAAACATAAAGGTCCCAAACACTAATTAAAAAGTGTTGGTTCTAAAAGAGATTGCAGGTTGTGACCTGGCTAGAATGCAAAACCCCTTCCCTGGGATTCACACTTTCATTTATTCTTGTAAATGTATCTATAGTATGTCTCTGGCCAATCCTAAATGAATGCCATTCTTTCTCATTAGTAAGTTCTTTCAAATCCATAGTTTGTCTTTAAGGAAAGCTTTAGCCGTTACTAACTTAAATCTCATTAACTTTTCACTTTATGTTCTGGGGTTCAATATAACCTACATCTTCATTTAACTACAGGAAATTCTAGATCATCAGTTGATAAGGCTAAAAGGGTTAGAAAATTTGAGGTTTATCTTTATAAGCCACCTACCAGATGTTAAATCTGAAGAACCACTGGATATATGGCTATGTCAGTGTGTTTATTCGCCATTTATTTTGTTGAAAAAAGATATTTGCAACAAATAAGTGATTAGTCTTGTAAAATTCTTCTATGTGATGATTACCATCATTCTGACTGCCAGGGTCATGTTTTCTTTCCTTTTTTTCCAACTTTCCCATTCCAATCACCAATAATGATCAACTTATCTTGATTGCATGTTTAATCAATTTTAGGCTGTAGAAAGTGGTAAAAAAATCTTCAATTTCTTCATCCTTGGAATTAGTGATTGGTGCATATATTTGAATAATAGTTCAATTAGCTGATCTTCCCTGTAGGCATATGGATATTATTCTATAACTGACAGCATTTTACTTCAGGATGGATCTTGAAATATTCTTTTTGACAAACAAACAAAAGAGAGAGAGAGAGAGAGAAACACCATTCC